TAGTTTTATAGCTTTTTAAATACTGATATTGACTTCTTAACTGGAGTTAGACATCAATTTTTTCACTTTTATGGTTACAGGAAATCGTTAAACGATAATTTTCTAGTTTCTGTTTGTTAGTTTCTAGTTACGTGCCCATAAAAAATTTTACTACTAAAACATTTGTTGTAAGGAACTTTATTTATAAATCTGTTGTTGATTCAGAGAATAATAGACCACTTAAATTAATAATAAACTATTTAATAAAAAAATAATTCCGATAACAGTTTATTATTTTTTTCACTATAGAAATCATAATGACAGGACATTTTTCAATGTTCTGGTAGCTAACGTTTTAATAGGTCCAATAAGCCTGAATCATTGGACCTCGTCCATTACCGAGATATCTTAATTGAAATCTAGAAGCCTTATTAAATATTAGCTGCACTGCAATAATTACATTATGGATCACTACTCGTCTTCATTCACTGAATAGATCATCTTGATATAATTGTTATCCATTGTAAAATGTACTAGGGATATATTTTTTTTAGAAAGTAGTTTATATTGTAATGTTTAACTTGCATATTAACCTTGGGAGCATTTGCATTTTGTATATACCATAATTATGGTTGAGGTGTAATCTGTCTAATTCTTATATTGTTTTGTTTGTGTTTATACATTTTCTGTTAACATCAAGTTTTATTCGTGTTGAAAATAGTTAAAAGTGTGTTAACTGTCCTTAACTTATGTATTAGGGAAATTAAACACTTTATATTAACTCTGTCGTTTCGCCAACATCAGCTAAACCAAAAAACTGTTAAATGTACGTAGTATACTTCATTTATCATAATTTGCCATAGTTCACTGTATTTTTTTTATTTTAAATTAACCATGACAGGGAAATATTAAAGACAACCATAACTGGTGTTATATTTTGAAAGTCGTTTTATAACATTAACTTTGATCAACTAAGAGTTTTATTTTTTCTTACAAAACAACCTCTTTATAATAATGTAAAACCTAAACTTAGGCTAAAATATGTTTTTAATATACACGAAAAGTGAGAACAACCATCTAAAAATAGACTAACGAGTGAAGCGGTTTCGTGTAATTTTGCGTAAATAAAGCCTGTGAAACAATGGACCAAGTAATAGTTGGTGGTTCAAAACAAGCGGGAAAAGTAGCTATTGTTGCTTACAACATCAGGCATAAATTTGTCTGATTCATAAAATGTAAAACAACCTTTCATTAAACACAAGGGTCATAGCCTTGGGTTCTTTTCAATTTGATGTGATATTTTTCGCCATAACATAACATTAGGCACATGTAGTTTTGTGACCAGTGGTTTTTGTAGTGTCTTTTATTACAAGTACTGTTCTGAAAGTTGAATTTTACAAAACACACTTAACTTTAATGTGCGTGACAGGGCCTAAAAAAAGGAACACAACTTTTTACGTGCGAGGCGGAGCCGATCTGTAGCACAGACATTTCAATAGAGCGATGTGTACCTGTAGTCACGGTGGTTGTCAAATATTTGATTTGTATGTTTTGTCTTAATGTTCGTTTGTGTGAGTTATATCTTTTACGGCCTCAATGTGAGATACACGTGTTATTCTTGACAAGTATCAGAAAAGGTGACCAAGTCTCTGAAACTATCGCAATCCACCCTTAGTTTAGGTATCACTAGACGAAATCAATGTAAAATAGCCTGTTTATTAGAAGTTACACAAAAATGAGTCCAATATATTTTTCCTTAAGTGATAATGTTGGGACTAGATTTATTATAAATCAATGTATAAAACTGTTTAAATTGGACAACAATTTATCATCGCAGATACATTAAAATTAATTATTCAACTTTGGTTTGTGAACAGCCAGCCTTTGTTAAACAAAAAGAAAAATTAAATATTTTGTCCTATTACGACTTGTTCTAGAAGATCGTACATTATATTAGCATGGAAGTAATTTTACAGCCATCACCGGTAACCGGTAATATAGAATTATAACCCAAATTCTTTCAAGGTTTTTTTTCTAATTCATGTATATTTTATTGAATATCCATCAACTTTAATTATGTGTATTTGCATGTAGGGTAGCTGGAAAGTTTTAAATCCCGCTGTACCCAACCAAAGGCCTGACACTGGAGGCATTCTGCTGTAAACTATTGATTCATCTGTCAAATATTAACGTTTGAGTTCTTTACACATGAGCGAACAGCTGTTGGTTATGGATTGTCCTCTAAAAAATTCTGTATTCCTTTGACCGTAAAAAACACAACAATTTTTTATGTACAAACAGGAGAAAACATATTTAATTGTGTACCACAGTGATTTTATCGTTTGGTTTCCTATCATAGACAACTTTACATATCGTGTTAATACAATATAACAAAAAAGCAAATCCCTTAAAGTTAAAAATAAATAATGTGTTACTAAACGATAGCTTTAGTTGGGAATCTTGTTTCAGTATGCGTTTTAAAGGTCTCTATAATTTAAATTCTATACTGATTTTAAGCTGAGTTTTCCAAAAAGGAATGTATACATTCTTTGCTGATATTACCGGGAATAGGTAAATGTAAACTGACAATATCCTAAGAAACTTGAGCTGAGAATATACTGAGTGAAGTGTGACAATACAGAAATATTTAACTTCAAGAAACGTTTTACAAAAGACTAATTATAGACAGGGATAATTTGGATTTTTACCCTTATTTACACTAACGAATTGTAGACAATTGATTGATTCATTCCGAAATCTTAGATCTTGGCGAAGTTATACAACATCCTCACAACTACAAAACATTAGAACGTTTTTGTGTATCAATTAGTTTTGTTTTCAATCATTCCACAACAAAATGGATTGAGAGTCGAAACAAGCAACATACATAATAGCAACATGATAGGATCCCACAAATTTTCGGGACTTTCCCAGAGACCAGAAAATTTGCGACCTTTAACTAAAAAATAAAATTCGTTGTATTTTACAAAAAGATTATACAGTCCTTCACTTAAAAAAATAACTTACAATAGTGTATTATAACTAAATGTCACAATGAAAAAAAAAACCTTTTTAAATTATATGGAAAAGGTCTACATAGGCAGGGGCCTCTGCGTAGACATGAGTTGCGGTTAATTTATTTTAATGGGAAATGAATTCTTGGAAATAACTGTTATCACGTCTGGATATAAATTTTGTCTTGCTTGGAACTGGACTACGACATTTTACTGATTTAAGAAGAATCTGAAGTGCTTCATAAAAATCATGTGATATGTTGAGTGGAGGGGAGTGGTGAGTGGTGTATTAGTTAGTCATCGAAGGTGGTGTTTTAGTGATTGTGTGTTGTAGTGTAGGGTCAACGGTCAGGTCGGCCCAACGCGATAACAGCCTCGGTGTCCTCTGAACTCGATACAAGCCACTCTACTACATGCTTCTTAAACGAGAATCAAAAATATCGACATTCTGGTATTTGTCACAAATCTTAAGATATAATTTGGGTTAAATTAAAGCAGTTTGTGTGTGAAAATGATTTTACGGTCTGTGGAACAAATATACCAACGGTTTGATAGAAGCGCGTATTGTGCGATATAGTTTTTTTGTTTCAAAAATATATTCAAAGTTATTGTTCATGTGTACTAAAATAAATTAAAAAAAACATCTGCCAAACTGTCAAAACTCCTGATTCTGTATAAAGGTCGTCAGTTGAATCTCTAAAATGTCTTTTAAATGCAACTTTTAGAATAGTTCTCAGCACTACAAAAAGAGGCTGCAAGATAGTTTTGTAAGCACCACTAAAAGCAATAATTCCAAATGACAACAATGATTGAACGTATGCATGGTAAGCGATTTAATTTTAATTTCTCGCTCTTCGAGAACATCACTAAGTTGTTTAAATCCATACATATATTTACGTAATAAAATGTTTTGATATTCAACATGTTCCGACCACTTCATCTTTGAATTGAAAACAATATATTTATACGAATCAACTCTTTCAATTTTGCTACAAAAACATAAGTTGTTGAAATGACTTCCCCAGACATGAATAGTTAGGTTTTAACGTTTGAATTCGGTAGTCTTACGTACTGAAATTGGCATGAGTTTAGTTTTTGATTTGTTGAGAGATGTATTTTGGTCAAGCCATTTTTTTAGTAAAAATATATCTGACTCTGCCTTGTTTTTTACCTCCTCCCAGGATGTTCCAGTTAGGAATATTAAAACATTATCAGCAAATAAAATTTGTATTAATTTATTTTTATTTTAGAAATATTATTTATGTAAATGAAAAATAGAACAGGGCTCAGATTCCATGGAGATCACTTGACACTTCACCAAGTGAGACAGTCTGTAGCTAATCAGAGATTTAGCTGCTGAACCAAGCGAGCGAGATGCCGCGCACCCCGACAAGCTCAAGTTTTTGCAACAAATGCTTTCTGTCCACTGAGTCGAAAGCTTTTTTCTAAGTCTTAGAATATTAACATACTTAATTTATTACTGTATACTGCTTCGTTTATGCTTTTATTGATATCAAATACAGCGTCAGAGATATTTTTGTCACTCCTAAATTTATATTGATTTTCACATAAAACGTTGCACTGCACTGGTGGAGGTAAGAAACCAGTTGGTCTTTAACAATTTTCTGTAATATATTAGCGATTACACTTAATAAAGAGGTCGGAACATAATTATTCATGTCTGTGGAATAATTGGATTCATGCAATTAAATAATTTTTGCTAACTTTAACATGTTTGGGAATAAACCAGATGAGAAGCTAAGATTGACAATGTGCAGTAGAGGAGCACATAGAGAGTGGACGTTTTCATTAAGAACAAAGGCCGAGATACCATCATGGCCAGGCACAGACCCTTCGCGCAGACCCTGGACGTAATGTAATATGTCGGTGTGTGTAATAGTGTTGAACATGAAATGTGTGTCTTGTAAGCAAAGATTTCAATTGAAACGTATCCTGTGATCTTGCTATATTTTTTTTAATATTTTGACAAACATTATTTTGTTTCAGCTATCGCTCGCTTCAGCCGCATCGGATTCCGAATACCGGGAGCAACGACTTCTTGACGTCCACAATTTCTGCTCTCACCTTCTGGTAAGTATATGTTGTTGAGTAGTTGTTGCTACAAACTAAAAGACGTAACAAAATTGATAAAATTAATATAAATACCAAAATTACACAATAATACACTTCTTTATTTCCACGGATCTTTCCGGTACCTATTTTAGTTGTGAAAATACATTATTACTCGAAGTAAAAAATTATTAGACTTTAAAGCAATAGAATTTTAATCATTTCTATTTGCTTATTTATTTTATGAACGAGAGAAATGTTTCCACCAAAACTATGCACAAATTTCACAAGTGAGAAAAAACCGCTTTCGCCCTCGACTACGGCTGATTCTTTCACTTTTGTTATACAAAAACTTTATCAAGCAAACCAATAGTTTTACCTTTATTTAGTTTTTTCCACGGTTTTACTTTTTTCGAATAAAACTGTTAATCCTGAAATCCAAGCACTATCAGAAGACAAAATGTTCCTTCATAGAGTCAGTTAACACATACATACATAAACAGATACATAAATTGTAATTACACTAAAATTTAGACAAATCATTCTTTTAGCTGAAGAAAAAGTAATTTTTATTTCCACTCTAAACACTTAGATGTTATCGGAAACAAGTGTCAGTGGGTTAAAATAATATGATAAACTTTAAATTGAATCTGTGAAACGAGTTTCCTTTACTGAGTAGACAGGTAACTTGACTGCATTTGTCGTTGTCTAGTTGTATTTGTTGGTTATTGAGTTATTTGATAGAACTCAAGTGTAATGTGTGTTTCTGAAGTTTCTGTATACAGTACTATACTGAAACCTGATTCCAAGTGCATCAGTATTTGTGTTGTTGTGTACGTGATAAAACATATTTGAGTGTTTAAAAGATATCGATTAGGTATCACAGTGTACAAAAATAATTATACAACTGGTGAATGAGACTTCGTGAAAATGCAAGATGCTTAAAGCTGGTAACTGTACCATGTAACATTTGTGTGAAGGCCAATAAGTGCTGTAATTTTAAAATTGTCGATTTAAATATTAACAACTTCTCAATATACAATCACAATACAGTATAATCATAATAACAATATAAAATCTGCATTGTACGTGTTATTAAATTGACGGAAAGTAAATAAAAGAAACATCTTATAACACTTAAAACATATATTAACGATTATACTGTTTCTCACAAGGCGGTATATATACATAAAAGATGGTAAGTGGTGATCGATTTTCCACTTATAATATTTTATACAATTTACTGTCTTGTGAGTAACAGTAGGTATAGGCGTAAAGTTATGTTTTAAGTGTTATAAAAGATTCCCATTATGTCTTTAAATTATGTAAATGGTTACTGCTTTATATTGTGTACCTTCAATTCACTTACTTAGCAATGTTTGTAACACAGTTGCACAAATTATTGAGACATATCTTATTGTTAACATATAATAAATTCGTTGTCAATAATCATACACATTAGTAATGATTTTGAAGTGTTGTTTGTGCATAGGCTTCCTACGAAACTGCTTTTAAATGTACTGAAAAGGTCATTAGTAAAAGAGTTAGAATCGTGTAACATATACATTAGATGGTTATTAAATGATCAATTATTAAACTGTACATAATAATAGTTTTGTTTTCAGGTCTCATTTTGGCAGTGTATAAACCAAACACTTGACGGTGAGTTTTCACTCTTAAGTGTTAGATAGTTATTGGTCATAGTAATGGACCAAGTTAACAGTAGTGGGTTTGCAGGGAAAGGTGTTATTGGCACTGTTTTATTAAAATTATATATCAGGGTCTCAAGAACGGTTATATTTTGCAAAAATGACCTAATTATGTCTTAAAAATAAGTTCATTCTTACACAGTAGAGCTATTAACTGGTTATAATTAGCAACAAATTTTAATGTGCTTAGAATTTGCCACCCTTCTTTTACATATTTCCTTAAAAAACATTTTTCTTTTTAAATTTGATTTCATAGGTAACTAAGTTTATTATTTATTCATTATGCATTACTTTATTCCTTAACCCGTTATATAGCTATTTCTAAATTTTTGTCTACCCTCTACCTTAATTCGCAATCACTTGTATAACTTTAACCATCACTTGGGCATATTTCCCGTGCAGAGATGAGCAGAGGTGACAGCTGGTCTGGGAAGACGTGTTGTAACCTGCCTCAGTCGGACAGATGTCAGCAAGCCTGCATCAAAGCATCCAGCAGGAAAGACCTGATACACAATTGTCGTCAGAGTGACGAGATTGCCTTCTTCAGCTGTTTGGATAAACAACAGGTAATTAGGTGAAGATGTTGGTGTTCTCTTTAAACGCCTTTGAACATTTTAACATAAGATGCACAAATCTGGAAGTAGTTAATCACTTTTTTTATTTATTTATTATCAACGGTTCCCCCATTTTTTACAATGTAAGTCAATAATTCATCTGTGAATGCAGCGTGATGCTAAATAACTGATGATAAAATGCAGTTTGAGTTAATTGAACAGGTGTTGCACTAAAATGCTCAAATCTATGGTTAACAGGGTAACAAATATATTTACCTGTTATGGGCTCCATTGCTCCATTCCTTTATAAGTGATGAGTGATAGGTGATGGCAGTTTTCCCATTTCCTTTCTTCGGTCCATATCAAATGTTTTACACCCCATCATATTCGTATGCGTTCCTTTTCATCACCTTCACTACTCATTCTATCATTTACTGTTTTGATTCTTCTGTGTATTTGAGTCCGGTTAATTTTCCCCACAGATGGGGGAGGAGTGTTGTGCCACAGCGCAGAATGATGAGTGTAAAATGGCGTGCAGGACGGTGTTCCGCAGCGACGCGACGCCCAACCGCAACGCCAAGACGGCGCTGACACATGCCTGTGGAGGCAACAGTCCGAGGACGCTGGCGTGTGTCAACAACTTTACTAGATCAGCACCCGTGCCCAACCCTCACAAGTGTGAGTATGGAGATCCCACAGCTATCCTATGTCCTGAACTGTTATCAAGCACTTTAAAAACCTCCTATTGAGATATTGGAGATTTTTCTCTCATTGCAATCCAATATTAATAATAACTAGTTTTTATCCACGGGCTTCACCCCTTTGACTTCATAAAGTATTAATAGAACTATTGATTGGTTAGGTTAAGCTGAAATAAACAAAACAAAATACAGTAATACAAACAAATAATCTCCCCTGATTTTAATAAGGTAATAAATCGAAAGAATAACATACAAATGAATACAGCTGAGGATGGAAAGTTCCCTTTGGAAAGCACGACCTTATAGGGCAATTTAAGAAATAATGAATAGTTTTGCACAAGGTTTCTCGTAATGACGAACATTTTAAGTATATGGTTTATGGGGATGTGACTTGTAGTTTTCTCAAAAGTTCATGGGTACTTTTGGCTTTATATATAGATTTTCAAGTTTAGTACCATTGTTTTCTTTAGAGATAGCACTTAACTATTTCAAGAATATGGATCCACCTTTAATGTTTGAAAATACTTCAAGAGTTTACCTCATCTTGTTTGTAGCAAAGCTTCACACTACGGGAATCAAAAACCTACGTTTATTAAAACGGCGATCCTTAAAATTATTACCAATGAAATTCAATGCTATAATTGCAACGAAATCAATGTGAATTGAAATACACTATATTCTGTATTTTGCATATAATTTTGCAGTCTAAGCTGACAAACTCGACACGAGGCTTGTTAAATAAATTGTCTATCTGCCTGCCTATGTGTCTGATGCTGATACGGCAGAGAGTAACTTACAATGCCTTTAAGCAAATCTAAAGCACGGGAGAAAATCAAACTCTTCCCTTTATTTAAAACATGTATTGAGAATATCTTTGGTTGTTCCAGTCGTGCACTGCTGTGATGAGGCCACCAGTGCAGAGTGCCACAACTCTTGTCGTCGTGTGCTGCAGGAAAGTTCCACAGATCAGGAGATAATAGATGGACTCCAGGAGGGTGGTTGTGGCCCACCCTTACTTCATGTAAGCAAAATCATTTTTTATATCAAAGTTTCTTTTATAAAATATGCTTTGTTCAAGGTTTTTCGTTTTTTTTTTTTTTGCTTGCATAGTTTAAAAAGAAAATATATTAGCAGGATTTTTGTTGAAAAAAATGTTAGTTTTTATGTTTGTGTGCAGGAAAAGATATGGCAGTGTTTTCTACAGAGTGGGGATGCAGCCCCTAGTGTAGAAGCCTCCCTGATAGACCGCATGGGTATGGACTCTGCAAAGCTGCATTGCTGCTACAATGCGAGATCTTCGACATGTCGCAAACTTTGTCTCAAGACATTCTCTACAGACTGGACACATTCATGGGAGGAGTTCAGCTCCCAATGTCTGCACCAATACAGTGAAGACAGCCTACATCACTGTCTAGATGAAGGTATGAGATAATGTTGTGTCAAGAAGGTCTCTACAGACTTGAAATATGTTTAGGAGGATTACAACTTACCTGCTAATACGAACTTCCTGTAGGCCTACATGTATAGGGAAAGCATTGAGGAGTTTGCAGCCAACAAAACACCAAAGTTTCAAATACTCTAGACCTTCGATGAGCCAGTTTCATTCAATGAGAACTCTTGAATCAACAACCAAACCTCTTTTCCGCCCAAGCTTATTTCGATTGAAAATGATTTCTATTGGTGTACATTTTCTAATACATTTCCAAATGAAATAGTAGATAATATCATCTGTTCTTGGTTAAATAAAAAAAAGTTAATAGTCAAATCAATAAAATATTTAGCTCAAACACAATAATTATAACATAAACCCTAACATAGCGTAATACGTAGCGTCAATTTATAGCCGGGAATAATTATTAAATATGCAAATTAACTAATATTTTGTCCAATACAAACAAAGAGTTTAAAACAGAGTTGTTAATCCGTTTATCCAATTACTGTTTCGTTGACAAACAATAATGCCCATGGTAATGAGTGACTCTAAAGCCTTTTTAAAACATGTAAAGATCACCAAATAATTATTTTAATCCATGAGTTAATGGTCTAGATGATTAGGGATTTATCGAATAGGACAACGACATTTTTGGTTAGAGTTGAAATGCATTATGGTGTGTTTTAAGTTATAATGTGAAGTATGTAATAACTAGCTTTAGTATTTTATTATAATTAATCCATATATACGGAAGCTTAATAAGTATATAGCTTAAGTATCATGTAGGTTTTCTAAAATTGTTTAGAATGGGATGTAAGCATCAAACAATCTACTAAAAAAGATTATGATTTAGGGAATGGTTTCGATTTCCAACAAACATTTATAAGCACTCAAATACAAGACTAGCTATGTCTAATAAGAATTTGATTCTATTTATGGGGTTACAACGGTAGCCAAGACCATATTAAAAGCCAAATGTTTAAGGACAATCAGCAGTATGAAATAAAAAAGACTTGTGACCTTTCGCATTATCAAACCACTGAGCTTATAATTTATTTGGCAACTAATTTTATCATTTAGTTTCCCAGAATAAGTCCATTTTAATGGTTGTAAGCCATACTGTATATTTATGTATCAAATGTTGCAACTCATATATCTCTTTGACTATACAAACTACATATTTATTGTTCAGTGGAGGAGCCTTGTGAGCTGGGCTGTGATGGACTCAACTACTGCTCCAACTTTAACAACAGACCGACCGAGTTGTTCCGCAGCTGCACGGCGACAGCAGACGATGCTGCACGCTCTGACGTGGCAATGTGGACTCTCAAGGGAGAACTGTCCCTGCCAGGACTGCAGATACCTATCCGCAATATCTCACAGTGCTCTCCCATGATGTGGAAGGCAGTCGCTTGTACGTTGCAGATCAAACCTTGTCATCGTACCACGCACACAAACAGGATCTGCAGGTAACGGTGTCACTGTTCGGAGTATTAACAAAAAATCTTTTGAGAAGTAATTTGCAACTTTTAATTTTTTCCTTGCAAATATTGCATTTTACTATCCAAATTGGTCTCAAAGCTTAGAACGTATTAAGCAAGCCGACTGTTATGTCGTACTAAAAAAATAGAAGAAAACTAAACTGATAGAATTAAGGGGGCAACCAGGACATAAACCAATGAATATCACTAGTCCATTACCAAGTCCAAATAAATTTAGGTAATTAGATTTGGCCTTCGAAAGTCCGTTTAGGTTTCAAATTGCCAGATGTATTTTTAAATTGGCCAATGTTTTTAATAATCCTGCCTGACAGGTTCGCTTTATTGATCCGGGCCAAAAAGTAATATTTTAATATGCGTCACGTTTCACGTCGTTCTTTTAGTTGTTTATAGATTTTCGAAGTATCTATAAATAAATTATATAATTTTACACATTAGAAATGGAAATCTGAAAAAGAAGACAAATTTCTACCAGTGGAGAATATAACTTTTCAGTATGTAATAAGGATTTATGATCTTTACTATGAATGATTACAACTTTTACTGTTACAATAATTCATCAATGATTTGGAATTTAAAAACATTTCACTTGCATTGTCAATGAAAGCCTATCAATATCGTATTTTTTCAATATAACATGTCTTTTACGTCCCAGACAAGACTGTTTCAACCTGCTGAGCCAGTGTATGGACTGGACGCGGATGCCCGCTGACACATCTGCTGCTATCATCTGCAACCGTCTGTCGTCTGACAACCCAGCCACACCTTGTGTCTCACTGGAGCCCTACTTGGAGCCCAGTGATCAGCCCTACAGTCCTCCCAGGGACCAAGTGACACAGCCTTGCCGTGGGGAACCTTGTACCTCAGGGCATCTGTGTGCTGTCAATCGATACTGCTCTACGTCTCGCTCTTGTCAGCCGTACACTTGTGCTCAAGGTACAATAGAGTAGTCAGAAGAAAATCGTAGCTTAGCTGCAGTTATTTATGTGATTTTGGCCTTGGTTTGTAGAGTGCTGCAATTCTATCAAACATCTATTTGGTTCGTATAGCAAACTTAACTCACATTTTTATAAGTAAATTGCTTAAGTAATTTCGATCCGTATGGAACCATTTATTTTTATTTTTATAAATGTTTGTCTCTGTTAACAAAGTAAATGAATAAGAATGATATAAGATCATTGACCTGGTAAGCCCAACGTAAAATAGGTCAAATTCAAACTCTTAAGATCTTTAGGTTTATAGACGTTCTGTAAAAATTGTTATCTTTCGCAATATTAAAATACATTTGTGTGTTTCAGGCTGCAAGCTAGGTGAGGTCTCCAACTCCCTAGTCCCAGTAGGGACCTACGTCCGCATACCCAGTGGCAGCAACGGGTGTCTTAAGATATGCCAATGCTCCAGTGATGGTTCCATAGACAACTGTCAGCCTGTGCCGTGCTTTCCTCTGGAGGCATGTTGGATCAGCGGCAACAGACAGGGTATATTATTTATCCCTTTAACATTATCAAATACAACTTTGACTAAAAAAGTTGCTATGGCTTAGAAAGCCAAACTAATAATAGTACACCTCATAAACATTTTCACATAGCCAACTGGCCATATGCCATGTAGTTTCATCTAAGTATTAGACATAATTTAACTATTCGTTTCTACCTGCTTTTCTACTTACCTTCTTGATATCTTCTACCGAAGATAGAATACTCATATACTGTTTAATTCAGTTAATGGCCCAAGTGTACATACTGGCCCAGGTGGATAAGACATACTGATCACACATTATTCAAAACCGACCACGATACTTTTTCAGAGCACGGGACCTCCTTCTACATAGAGTGCAACTTCTGCAGCTGCTACGCCGGAGAGATCACGTGTACCAAGAGACAGTGTGAGATGTCTCACGTAGGTCTCAGAGACGTAGCGTTCACCAGTCTCCCTTGCAACTGTCCTCCGCATCATGTACCAGTGTGTGGCAGGAATGGCAGGACGTACCCTAGTGCCTGTCTGGCCAAGTGAGTAGACACGCTTGATAGGTTGGTTGAGAGATTGTCTTGTATTTTTAGTATACTTTTATGTTAGAATTTCTAGCTATTTTCTGAATTTTTACTCGCTTTATTACTCGAAAATAGAATTGTATACATCTACTTAGCTTATCTCAATTTTGAGGGATGTGGTTTGTTTAGTACGTAGAGCGCAGAACCAAGGTTAGGTTTTTTTATAGTCATTGTATAGTATAGACTTTGTATAGTCCGACTGGTCCGACTTAGATGTTGAAGTTTACATCCCGCTACTCACTATTGACCTTTAGCAATCTAAAATCCGTGAATCGAGTGCACAAAACCATGCTCAGCTGTATAGTAGGTGCACGTAACAAGTTAAAAATATAGGTCTGATAAGGAGAGTTAAATATTTCCGAAATTTTAATATCCTAACCTGAAAAGCCATAACACAATCATAATAATTCTTTTTATGACCTATTGAATACCTGTCACTAGCGGTTGTCACTGACATAAAAAATAGGTTTATTTTAGTTTGTAAATTAGTAGTTTAGTTGTGGTTAATTAGTATTAATTTTTTTTAGCTTCCTTTATTCCTTTATTTAGCGTCCTTTATTTAGCTTCTAACAAACTCACCTTTATTTAGGTGTTCTGGTCTGAACGATGCTGATTTTGAGTTCGGGTCTTGTGAGGAGAAGGATCCGTGTGCCTCCAACCCCTGCGAAGAAGGGGAGGCCTGCATTCCCAGCAAGAGGGTGTGTCTGTCACTTCTGCACAGTCCCTGCCCTCAGTATCAGTGTAGTGAGTAGTCCCAACAGTTCCATATAAAGCATTATTTGTAAAGCTGTTTCAAGGGACTTAAAAGTTGAAACATTAAACCAAGCCTAACTTTACTTTTTTATTTACATAATAATTACCAATAAATAGGTTACAAAAGTGAAAAAAACTGCAAATGGTTTGTCTGCACTAAAATTATTGTTTCTTAAATACTATACAATTTTGTCAGTTGCAGCAACTTTTTGCATTTGTATCACGCTCGTGGTGCACTTCTTCTTTTGCTGAAATACAATGAATATAAACAACGAAAACGCGATTTCTTAAAGTTATTAAGACTTTACAACGGAATATGTATGTATATTTTTTTTTTCTTCCAACTAATTAGATTATTTACCACAACCACACAGCATCTCCGAGACAACCAACTCCTTGTGGTTGTTTGCCGGTACCTCTAATGCAGTGTAAGTCAATATAATGTAACTAATTGCAGTGGATATTTTAATTGACATTTTTGTTTCCCGCTCTTGTATATTGAAGATTGATTTCCGTCTTTTCCAGTAAACATCGCAGACGCCTGCAACAGCCAGAAGAGTAGCCCGGTGTGCGACACTGACGGACATCAACATCCAAACAGCTGTTACCTACTGAGATACGCCAAGACTCTGGCCTACCACGGGCCCTGCTTGGTCAGTAATTCAATAGACTGCATATCTAGATGAAAGAGTTGAGCATATGACATTTGATTCTTCTTCAGAAGAAGTATTAATAAGTAGATCTATACACTCATTTTTGCTTTCCATGTTTAGTGGTGGTTGTTTATTTATAGATAATTGTAATGTGGGTTTTTCCATTGTCATGAATGCAGTTAATATTTTATTTAGTTAACGATACAATAATTTTCTTGCGTCACAAGATTCCACATCTGCGTGACCTACATATTTAGTATAGTATACTATAGTGACAGGTCGGCTTCACGTCTTACTTTTTAAATCTTTTTTTTATCCAGTGGGCTTTACTTTTTGTGTAACACTTGCATCATAATAGTTGCCTGTCATTTAATCTTTTACTACGTCTATTTAAGCTTAAATTTCAAGTAATCTCTGTTTTAAAATGCTTTACTATGATAGGAAGTAAGATAGTGATCTAAGATATTTCCCACTCATGTTGAAATAGTCCCCTTCTCATGACAGAGTGGCTGCAACAAGACCGGGCTAGTGTGTGGTGCAGACGGCAACACGTACTCTTCGGAGTGCTCTGCTGTGGCGAGGAACGTCCACGTAGACTACCATGGCCCTTGTGTGGCTGTGGGACTAGTGGACGACCCTCAGTGTCCCTTGGTCAGGTGTCCTCCCCTCACCATGCCAGGGTGTCTGGGAGTGACTCCTCCTGGAGCGTGTTGTCCTGTGTGCGCAGGGGCCATCCGGGTGCTCTACAGGTTAGGCCCACATTAATCATTATTAAAAAAATGCTAAACTCTGATACAAGAAAAGGTGCTGCAATAGAAGGATAAGTTAAGTTGGTGGTAAAGAACTATCTTCTAATTAAGTTTTTTCATACCGTACTTGATAGGACATAGTCTTAATAATAAATATACAGTACTATCATGATAAATAATAATATTATGTCTAAATAATAAATGTTTTAATTTTGAGATGTCCATATAGAGGACTTATATATTGTTTGTAGATTTGATCTGACAGCTTTAAAACCAGTTGCATCAGGTTTTATACATTTTTTTGAAACTAAACCCTGGTACGAAACAAATGTGTTATTCAGAGAAGCCTCCGTTAATTCCTCTAATTTTCGATGCTCCTTGTTAAAATACTAGGATAAAAATTAATTCTAGTCTCATCAATGATGCAATAAAAAAAGTTGACAGGAAAATATATACGATAGATTGGTTGAGTAATCTCATAACGAAATATCTGTAAATAAAGTCCTTGGAATATTAGATTATTTCGTATGAGATAACCAAGGGATTTGCTAAGCTGGTAAAGAGGACATTTTGAACTATAAAAAAGGTTTGATATTTTGTAAGTCACTTGAATCCAATTATATGACAATTTCCACAATCTCACTTTTCTTGTAGCTCAAAATTGTGAACCTTACTCTGCGCCGCAATTTACCGTGTAATTTTAAGAATGCCTAACAATGCATATGCTTTGTAACTTATAAGGCTGTCATTTAATCTTAGCTCAATCTAATCCTGTTGTTGAATGAACCGTCCTATTCCAGCCAGAAGCAAGTAGACCGAGCGTTGTACGCCCTCAAGTCCAGTCAAGCAGTGTCCGCCCTTACGCTACAGACCGTACTGAGGTCTTTGGACCGTCACGTGACCGTAGCAGAGTGTGGGGTACGTGGTCATGTGACCGTAGAACTCGACCTGATGGTGCTGGTAGTGCCAACGAGACCCTCCCCTTCACCCCTGCAGCTGCAAGCCTGCGTGGGAGAAGCTGACAAGTTGGCCAACCTGATCAGACTCGCCAGTCCCAAGCTGGTAGCAGAACTGAGCTTGGGCACCCTAACTGCTGCTAGGGTTGTGCACAATGTGGTGGAGAGCAATGCTGCCAATGTGAACGTGAAATTATCCTGGAGTATGACAATAATGTTGTTCATTTTAGTGAGGTGGTGCTAGTAAACTACGAGGTGAAAATGGTCGTTAGGCCTTAAATTGGTCAAATAGTTTGAGCCATATTCCATTTATATGCAGGTCAATGTGGCAACATTAAGAAAAAAAGAGACGCAAAGAACCATAAGAAATCTGGTAAAGTGTTTAAGGATCACATATTGATGAACAACCTTAGAAGATTTTACCTTCTTAAATACATTGCCGATGGACGATGCATTATATTAATGTGGTCATATGACTGGTTAAGTTGACAACAGGTGACATGACAAAACACCTCAAAACTATTATTAATAACATTCTATTAGTGTTACCATGTACAGTATGTTTTAAAAACCCACACAGATTGAACTGTACGGTACAATGATCAATTTTAAAGCTGGATTGAGACTGATTAAGGCTATGATACAGAACTAATATAGACTTTTAGGAAATTAACGTACGAATTTAGTTCATATTTCTATTATAAATTACGACTAAATTTGTTAGTTTGTGGTCATTACAAAATAGTTATTAAATGCAATTATTTATATTGAGGTATACACCAAAATCTTTGTTTTATATATAAGTATAGAATTATTTTACATATGATAATAATGTGTTAATAATGTACATAATGTATATACTTAACTGTCAAGCTAGATGTGCCAAATGTTATAAAGTGTTTATTTTAACTGTAAAACACAGTATATTATGTCCATGTTATTTAATCTATAATAATTAATTATGTTATAGCTTAGAGAAAAAATTTAATGTTAGTATAAACTTTAAATTTTTCTGAATCCTTCAGTAACTCAATATTAAAATCAAACCTGAGGGTTTTGAATTGGTTGAGAGTCCTCAGATTTATCCAAACATAATTCATTGCTGAGGTAAAATGTAAAACAGTTATCTTATCCTACTGAAGTGTTAAGTTTCAACAAAAAGTTTAAGTTTCATCTTGTAGTTTTTATGAAAAAAGTACATTTAAATTCAGAAGCGACCGAATTTTTGCAGTTTCCCAAACGAAGTCAAAACATAAACAAGAGTTTAAAGTTATCCAAAACTGCCTGCTGGTTCTAAACCAGAATTGATGTTTCAGAATAAATATTGACCGTATCCGTACATGGACGTGAGGCCATATTGACTTAGTCTGTGATACAAAATGTTAGTCTTGGTTAGAATATGCCAAAGATTGCGGATGGTTTTATTGAAATGGTTTGTTTTGTATAGAAATGTATACTTACTGTTTTATATTGTAAATGTAAAAGGTTTAACTTATTCAAGATTAAATAATTTCGAAAAAAACTAATTATCTTTCACTAACTTGACCAAACTACTATTATCTAATTACAATTATCTTACAACTTACAACTAATATGTCATATCGTTAGAACATAACAATATTGGAACCTAAGTGGTTTGATATACTCTTTTGAATGTGTTTACTGCTGAACCTTTGTGGGACGATTGAATATAGAACAGCTTATTTTCTGTGTAATACGCTTGGATGACGTATGTGTAATGGCGATTTAATGTTTTGCATTCAAATACTCCTAAAGAAAGTTGTAAACTACCGTGCTACCTGTCGTCCTTCAATGGACTAATTTACAAAATAAAACATCTACCAAGCAAATAAAATAATACATTTTAATACATAACAATATTTGTTTTCAATGGGGGGGGGCTTAAACATATTTTTGGGCCCATTAGTGTTAGCGGTGTCGTTAATAAGACATCACAAAAATTTATTCTAGTATAATAGGTACCTAAATCTAGCTTTACCCTTTCAGGTTTGCATCAAACCACGATAAAAAATTAAAGTGGGATTTTTCTGAAGTATAAACTGTATATAGACAGTTAATATGCTATCAGATGAACGTTACTTTAACTGTCCGTGAAAGAGGTGTGTTGTGCGAGAGATAGTCCAAACATCCCGGCTGAGAGGGTAATTGTAGAACATGTTGACTGTCAATATCAACATACAGCGACCCGGATGATAAATTACCATACTTCATCTCCCGTTCTTCAATCACTGTATGGATGGTTATGAATGTGTGTGTTTTAGTTATAGGTACTCCTCGCTAACTATTTCTAAGCTCACATTCATTTTTTTCATCCAGTGGAATTAAACTTTTAGATTATAACAGGTTACGTACCTTGACGTCCACAATTCCTTAGTCGGTATTCGTTGACTATAGTTTCGACTACTGCGTAGTCATTATCAAAACGGAACGTTAAATATTACATTCGTTGAATGTCGTCAAATCTTAATACATCGAACACATAAAACAAACATAACACGAACACGGTAGACATAGTAGGTTGTTTTATGTGTTCGATGTATTAAGATTTGACGACATTCAACGAATGTAATATTTAACGTTCCGTTTTGATAATGACTACGCAGTAGTCGAAACTATAGTCAACGAATACCGACTAAGGAATTGTGGACGTCAAGGTACGTAACCTGTTATAATTGATTACCAATTCCGGAAGGCTTCAACATGAATAAACTTTTAGCATATCTTGTGGTAAAAAAAAAATTGAAATAGCAAAACAACGGATTGGCTTACTTGTTCTTTTTTTTCAAATAAAGCTTTTGAGTTATTTATATTTGTGATGAGCTAAAGGGGGGCCACCAGTTGACCGACAAGATACTTGGTCGTCTTGCCACTAGACCGTCTTTTTTAATTAAATAGATAAATACTGAAAACCAGTACGTCGACAAGTTATTTCATCGTCAGTCCAGTTGACCGGCCTGTAAATCTAAATTATTATATACGAGAAACCAACTTGTCGTCAATCCTCCCGACCGACTTACCACTTGCTCGTCTTTTAGGTGGGGATGTGTTGAGCGGCAGTGCCAGCGGCGCGCGCAGCTGTGGAGGGCACTGCAGGCGTACCAACTTCTGTATCTTGTAGCGGCGGTTTTCATTCCGACGATTTTCAGCTATCACAATGCAGCGGACTAGCGAAGTTCTTATTACGTGTAATTGTTTGTTTCTCAATCGATATTTTGTTATACACAGTACAGTGAATATAAATAGGCCTATATTAGTTTACTTCAATGAAATGAATGTTTTATTTAGCTAAATAAATAAAAATACGCCGATTGAACAAATAAAATTGTTACAGACAACAGGAAGTCCTTAATATGATCAAAAAAGTGTTTATCTTTATTAAAAAATTACTGAAATTTGTAAACTTACTGCTGGCGACAAGGGTGGTGCCATACATAGGTTTATCAATAAATAAGATAAACATGGACAACCTTATGCAGCTATAAGTCAGGAAACATTTGTAGAAACATTAAAAAGCAATACCAATTTATGAAATATGATAAAAAATTTACAGGAAATGTTGATTACTGTATATACATCGTGAGTATCTCCAGCAGTTACACACTGGTGATCTTTGAGTTGACTCTTTTAAACTCATTGATTATTACTTTTTTCGTTTTGAAATAAATTCTGTATTACTTTGAAATTGCTCGAATTCGAGCAACATGTACACGAGTTTGAATATTAAATTAACTAACATATTTATGTAATAGGAGGGTCAAATATTGTTAACAGTGGTGAGGTAACTACCGTTACATTTATTCAATTGAGAGATAAATACAAATTGATAATACCGGTTATTTAAAGCTTTGTTGTCTATTTTTCCCTCTCTTAAAAAAATAAAATAAAGAATGAATTTAGACTTTTGGTGACTTTAGTTTGTACTATTTCTCCTTAAATGACACTGCTGTCTTGGTAAGCAATAGTTATCTCGGTAAACTATTTATTTGCTGAAGTGCACAGTGTGCTACTTAGCCTGAGAAACATCTTTTGTTTTATGATTTTGTTGTAGGCCTATTGAAAACCTTGTCTAGAAGGAATTCCCATTGCCTGTGTTACCGGGGAGAAGTTTTTCTTAGTAAAGTCTGTAGACGTCTTCGGTTTTACACAGAAACATGTAATTATAATTGAAGAAGTACATGTTTTATCCTCTCACGTTGTTGCGTGGACAATACTATGGTGATTCAATTCTGTGTACTTCAATTGTCTAACTGGCCCTAACTGACGCATCCTTGTTTTTTTTTTACTAAATAATGTAGTCTTTACTTCCGTGGATCTTTGCGTTTTATTGTTTAACTGTCCTCAAGTAAGTCTGTGTTCTGAGTAAGTACTTCAAATGCACGGCACTACTGTATATTCAGATTTTCTAATTAACTATCATAGATAAAAGGAGTATAGACATGTATGTATGACAGAGTATGTCTACTCCTTTTATCTATGGTACTATTTCCAAGTTCATCTGGACGACCCTGCAAATCGTTTCTATTAAAAAAAATTGTATTTGGTTTATGTTTATGAACTTGTATGAGTGTTGTTAACTAAAGCTAAATTCACATCAAATTAATTAATTTAATTTATTTTAATAGTATTTCTAATTAATTTCAGTTTTAAGAACATATAGTAAATAAATCCTTGTTGAAACGGCTGTACTATCCATGCAATTATTGTCAAACTATATGTTCAAAGATTCCTGGACGGCAATGTTATAATACTAGTTGGAGCAGAGGTACTGGATCTAGGGTTAATACAGTTTTGTGACGTGTAAGGTATATCACTGCAGAAGTAGTTAGCTCAAGAATTATGACGCGGATGACAAAGATTGGTAGCTTTTGCTATAATTATAAAAAAAACCAAGTACATAAAATCATTCACAGTTTTTTTTTCACAGTCTATTGAATAGCCTGCAGTTAAGTTCACTCTAATGAAGAATATAGACGTGGCCAGAGTTCCAAACGATTTAAGCAACAACTGTTTACATGAACTATCCTATATGTAAGTTTTTTTTTATAGTGTGCAATGTACTTATTGAATTTTCATTAGTAATATATCATGGCTATATCGTTTATGTAAAAGTATCAAAAGATAGTAAAACGAAAACGAAACAATCAACCAAGACCAGTGACCGAAACAAGTGTCGAGCTGGCGGTGCCGCGCCTACCTCGGGATTCCCCGAGGGCAATAATTCATCTTTGAAGTAACACCGGTAACACTGACTCACTGGCCGACACGGATACCCGCCTACCAACCCCTTTGGGCTGACAACGAACTGCACTCACGGTCAAAGGGATTTACAAGGGTTGGAAGGGTAGCCCGCCTAAGCCATATGGAACTGCACTCACGGTCAAAAATCGGTCTTTCACGGCTGAACGCTTCGCTAGCCCCTTAGCAGGCTTATCTGTTTATTCCGTCCTCTGTCTTACTTTATCCAATACTTTATTTAATACACGTTTTAGTGTCTGCCCCAATAAATACAACAATAAATAACCTATCCTATCCTAACCTAACCTAACCTAACCTTTACAAAAGAAGCTTCGTTATAATAAGAATATAGCCTATCATGTTATCGTAAATACTATGCTAAAATTTTCTGTGCACATATATATGTGTATTTTTTACAATGTCAGTAGTAAGTTTATTTTTTGACGTTTAGATTAATTTAATCAAAACTTTTCAATATATTTCAACTAATTTAATAAGTGTTAATCAATTCAATCATGGTGTTGCACAATGTGATATAGGCTAATTAAAAACTGACCGTGAGTGCAGTTCCAGTACCTCCAGAAAGGCTCAAAGTGACCGTGAGTGCAGTTCCGTAGTTGGATTAGGACCAGGGACTGACCGTGAGTGCAGTTCCAGCCCTCCCCC